CGGCGCTCAGGCCTGGGGGCCGCCGTCCCCGGAGCTGCTGGGGCCCGCCCGCTTCGCCCTGGAGACGTACAACCGCGGCCGGGCGGCCGGGACGCGGGCCGTGCTGGGGGCCGTGCGCGGTCGCGTCCGCCGGGTGAGAATGGGAGCTTTGGCCGAGACTTGGGGTGCGGGGCTGGACGGCGGAGGGACTGGGAACGCGGAGGGCGGCGCGGGTGCGGCTGGGGCTCAGCGAAGGACGGGCTGAGCGGGGAGGCGGCTGTGCCCACCTCACCCGCCCCTCCGTCCAGGCGGGCAAGGGGTCGCTGTACTCCCTGGAGGCGATCCTGGAGGAGCAGCCCTGCAGAGACCCCACGGTGTGTCAACTCCCTGTGTCCAAGAAGACCTTGGTGAGTGATGGGGCTCCTGCCGTTCCCCGCCACCAGGCGGCAGTTGCGTAATGGGTTAGGGCAAGAGGCTGGGATCTGTGGCAGCAGCTACGCCACCGAGTCACTCCCCAGGCCCCGAGGGCCAGAGACCAAGATGCTGTGAATCAGAGGGTGTCCGCGTGCTGGGGTGCTGGCCGTGTCTCACTCTCCACTATGGGGGTGATTGCCTTGGGGATGGTCCTTATCTGAGGATCCTCTAGCTTCGTCTTGCCCAGACCTTGCCTCCATCCCAGTCGGCAGACTGGCTTCTTCCTCTCCCTCCAGCTCTGCAGCTTCGAAGTCCTGGATGAGCCAGGAAGACGCATGCTGCTGAGGCGGGACTGTAGCCCAGTGGATACCAAGGTTACAGGTGCTGAGATAGCCCGAGGATGCTGGGACAGCCCAAATCAGACTTCAGTCAGGGTTCAGCCTTGATTTCCTGTCTGTTCCAACTCTATCCAGGTGACAGAGACGAGACTTTCAGTTCAGTCCTTCCACTGTTGAACAAGGACCCCCTGCCCCCGGTGAGGAGCCCATATCTGGGGAGCCAGCTGCTGCCTTATTCCCCTCTCCTCCCTTCACCCTGGAATGAGGCTCCCTGGTCAGGCTGAGCTCCTTGTAAAGACCCTTCGGCTTTTCCAGGACTTTTCTGTGAAGATGACTTCAGCCTTCAAGAAATTTGTCTCCACCTATAACCGGACATATGAGACAAAGGAAGGTGAGGACCCAGCCTTGGCTGTACCTGTCCCAGTCAGATCAGGGCCTTCCCCCCAACTTGACACCTTGGTGTTGGGGAAACACAAGAGGCAGTGCTTCTTTTCAGGGACTCGTAAATCCCCGAGTTCTTGCCCAGCCTTCCGGGACTAGGAAGCCACCCCAAGTACCTGGTCCCTTCTCCCACCTTATCTTCTCAGTCAGAAACTATGGGCCTCCATCAGTCTCCACAGGTTGGGGTGGGACAGAGGCCACATTTTCTCTGCTGGTGGCTCCCTGGCACTATGGCCCTTCCCCATGATCTTTTGTGGGTGATGACCTTTAGACCCTGTTTTAGTTACTGTTTTCACACCTGGGAAAGTCATTGCTCTAGTTTAGTCCCAAAAGTTGATTACACCTCCCATTCTGTCACTTGCAGGTCTGACCTCCCTGCCACCCTCCCCACACCTGTCCGGGGTTCTGTCTTTCTTAAAAACTGCCTCAGGCTTGATCCAGAGCCCACCTACTCCTCAGGGAAACCCCTCCCCGTTAGCCCCAATCTTCCCCCCTCTTACGATCTGCCTGGGGTTTGAGCCCCTCCTCTCTTGCTCCCTGGTTCTCAGAAGCCCACTGGCGGATGTCTGTCTTTGCCAGTAACCTGGTGCGAGCACAGAAGATCCAGGCCCTGGACCGTGGCACAGCTCAATATGGGGTCACTAAGTTCAGTGACCTCACAGGTAGGGGGTTGGCCAGAGTCCTTATGGAGCTTGGGAGAGACAGGGCCTGCTCCCAGGGCCTCTGGTCAGGGCTGGCTTAGAATGCTTTTCCTCCCCATGCCCTGCTCACCTTTGCCCACAGAGGAGGAGTTCCGCACCATCTACCTGAATCCCCTCCTAAAAGAGGAGCTTGGCAAGAAGATGCAGCTAGCCAAGTTCACGGGTGACTCTGCCCCACCTGAATGGGACTGGAGGAATAAAGGGGCTGTTACCAAAGTCAAGGACCAGGTTGGACCCCTAAGAAGTGAGGGTGGGACATGAGCACTGCACTGGGGTTGGGAAAGGGATCCAGTCCTGACTCTGCGTGTCTCTTGCAGGGCATGTGTGGCTCCTGCTGGGCCTTCTCAGTCACAGGCAATGTGGAGGGCCAGTGGTTCCTGAAACAGGGCACCCTGCTCTCCCTCTCTGAGCAGGGTGAGCATCCCGTTCTACCCCTGTCCCCAGCCCAGCTCCTCCGGAGGGCTCCTTGGGACTAGCCTTCTCTCTCCTAGAGCTCGTGGACTGTGACAAGGTGGACAAGGCCTGCCTGGGCGGCTTGCCCTCCAATGCTTACTCGGCCATAAAGGATTTGGGTATGCGTTAATGGGGTCCGGAGGGGCAGCAGGGGCCACCTTCTTCTGCAAGAAGTCAGTTTATGAGGGGAAGAGACATGAATGTGAGAATCACACAAAACTGGGTTTAAGTCTTAGTGCTGACCGTTACTGGCTGAAGACCTTGGGCAAGTCAGCTTTTTCAGAGCCTCAGTTACCTCATCTGCAAAATGGGGCTCACCATGCCCACCTTGTAGGATCGCTTTGAATATCAAGTAAGGAAATATATGTAAAGTTCCTGGCACAAAGCAAGGACTTGGTGAGCAGAGGGTCTTAGCATTTTCACTGCTTGGAGATCTGCTAAACCAGGTAGCAGCATATCTATCTCCCCCCTGAGGGGAGGCATTGACCTGAATTGGCAGTGCTGTTCAGCAGTGGGCTGCAGTGTCAGGAGGAGGAAGAGCTGAGGGACTGAGGGAGCTGTACAGAGACTGGTCCAGAAGCTTGGCAGGGTCTGGGCTGGATTAGGAGCAGACTGGCAGAGCGGGACAAGCCCTCTGCAAGAGTCAGAAGTTGGGAAGTGAGCTCTGTCTTGCCACTTTTCTTGTGGTCCTTCCTCCTTCCTCCCTACCTCCCCCAGCCTCAGTTGTGTCATCTCTAGAGTGACATTCCTCAGAGGGGATGGCCTGTGACCTGGGTGGATGAGGAACATGAGACCTCGTGTATAAGGGGCTTAGTACGCTTCTGGCTGGGAGAAGCCGGGTGAATGGTAAACCTTTCTCCATCCCCCGCCATTCCCCAGGAGGACTGGAGACAGAGGAGGACTACAGCTACCAGGGCCACATGCAAGCCTGCAACTTCTCGGCAGAGAAGGCCAAGGTCTACATCAATGACTCAGTGGAGCTGAGCCGCAGTGAGCAAAGTGAGTGAGGGGCAGGGGGAGGCCAGGCCAGGCCGGCCCAGGTGCCCACTGATGTTGCCCCTTCCCCATCTCAGAACTGGCAGCTTGGCTGGCCCAGAACGGCCCTATCTCTGTTGCCATCAACGCCTTTGGCATGCAGGTAAGGCCCTAGCCCCGCTGTCCCTGCTCTGTGTCTTGCCGACTCCTCCCCCACTTCTCTTTGGAGTTGGCCCCCTACTCCTTATTCTCCTCGCCAGTTCTACCGCCATGGGATCTCTCACCCACTGCGGCCCCTCTGCAGCCCTTGGCTCATCGATCATGCTGTGCTGCTTGTGGGCTATGGCAACCGTGAGTTCTGTTGACTGTCTGTCTGTCCATCCACTCCAGGCCACAGGCAGGGGTTGGACCACAGCATCCTAGGACCTCTAGAGGGGCAAATCAGGGGGTTGCCTAGGAACACTGTCCTAATCTGCCTCGAGCCGTGGGCCATGCAGGAGTCATCCATCCCTCTATGGATGGGAAAGCTGAGGCTGTGGGAGGTTGAAGGGTCGTGGACCAATAACCTGCTAGAGAGGGGTGGGGGGGCACCCTCCCATCCCCCCATCCCCCCATGCCCGAGCTGTACCAGGTGGTCTCCATGAGACGGGTAGGCGGGCCTCCCCTGCTTTCTGCTCTTTTCCTAGTACCCGTCACATAGTAGGCCCACTGCAGATAAATGAAGGGTGCAGAGTGCTTGGGGCTGTGGCTGGAAAATTGGGAGTCCCTGACACTTTGTGCTCTGCACTGCTCCCCAGGCTCAGACGTTCCCTTCTGGGCCATCAAGAACAGCTGGGGCACTAACTGGGGCGAGGAGGTGAGTCTTGCTTGCTTGGCCCCTGGCCCTCCAGCTCCCATGCTGCCCTGGTGCCCTCACCAACCCCTCTCCCCAGGGTTACTACTACTTGCATCGTGGGTCCGGGGCCTGTGGTGTGAACGCTATGGCCAGCTCAGCGGTGGTGAACTGAGGAGCCCACTAGCTCAGGACCTGGTGCTGACCAGAGCAGCCCTTTCCCCAGCCTGATCTGCGTATCTAGGCCCCTCTTCAGGAGGCACAGCTGGCTGAGGGACCGGCACTGGGTACCTCAGGGTGAGCAAATGGCACTGGGTTAGGGGCACAGCCCCAGCTTCCCTCCAACCCACTCCCACCTGAAGTTCCCCAATTGCACCTTCGTTGAATTGTGGTAGCTAGGAGGATCTTGGGGTAAAGGAGCATAACCAGATAGCCGAAGCTGGGATAAGAATTTTGGGCTCAGATAAGGAGCAAGAAGAAAGTATTCTGTCCTCAGCAGGCTCTGGCTTCCTGCCCCAGCTTTACTCTGTATGATGCCGTAAATTTTCTGCTCCTCCTGGATTTGGGGACAGTGTCCCATTTCACATCCAGGAAACTTGTAACCACCCTTTTCTAATAGCAATAAAGAGGTGTCCTGGTCCCCAGTGTGGTGTGAATGCTCAGTCCCTGAGGACAAGGAGGGACAGTAGGAACCCTTGGTGGGTCAAGGTGGGATAGCTGGTCCTGCCCAGGAGCCTGAGGGCCCAGCCTCTGCTTCAGGAACCAAAAGGAGATGGGGTGAGGCCCATGGATGGATCTTTATTCAGAAATATTTGGCTGGCTGTTCTCTGAGGCCCTCACTCCAAGGGATGGATGGGATCAGCCGCAGAAAGCACCGTCTCCTTCTTGCATGAAGGACCTCAGGGGTCAAGGTCAGAGGTCAGAGGTCGCTCTCCCCGTAGAGGGCACTGGAGAAGGCCACGTAGTCCAGGGCTCCAGCCGGAGCCCCAGAGCCCTTGTAGGGTGCCATACGGCGGATGCAGTACTCAGCCTGCTCAGCTGGGAGCTCCCGCCGCAGCAGCTCGGGGGTGATGTAGTTCTGGGGGAGGAGAGGAGTTGAGGGCCCACAAGTTCTGTTCCCGCCCCAGCCCACCAGCCCCCTCCACCACCCCGGGCTCACCTTATCTCCTGCCAGGATCTTGAAGGAGGCTACAACTTGCTCAGCTGTGTCAGTCTCGGCTGTCTCTCGGGTCATGAAATCAATGAAGGCCTGGAAGGTCACAACCCCAGCTGCATTGGGGTCCACCATGGTCATGATGCGAGCAAACTCCACTTCCCCCTGTAGAGATAGAGGCCAGCACCATGCCTACAGGTGCTAAAGCCAGGAGGTCTCCCGGCGTCCCCTCCCGGGGATTGTCTAGCCTTGGCTTGCACACCATCAGTGACAGGGTGCTCCCTTCCTCCACGACCTCAGCCCTAGCTTTAGGAAGTTCTTTATGCTAGGCTGAAATCTGCTTCCTGCCCTTGGCAGTGACTTCTTCTGGGGCTACACCCCCTCTCTTTAGTGCTGTTTCTCTGAGGTAAAAATGTTGCACACCCAGACTTTGGGGTCACACAGAATTAGGCCCAAATTAGTTTACCTCTCTGAGCCTTTGCTAGCTCCTGGCAGGTGTGAGGAGCAGTAAAGGAGATAATGGATGTGAAGGTGGGAGGTACACATCCCACCAGTACAGAGAAGAGGGGCACTGATGGGCCTTCTGGGAAGGGGATTGGGGATACTCACCAGGTCGTAGCCCATGGAGATGAGGCAAGCCCGGAAGTCATCAGGCTCCATCATCCCGTTCCGCTTCTAGGGGTGAGTGGACATCAGGCTCAGTCTCCAAACCCCACCAGCCCCCAAGTCTCTTACCCCAGGGCTGGGCCCCTGCTGACCCGGTCAAAGTGGTTGAAGGATGCCCGGAACTCATTGAGCTGCTCCTGGCTCAGGCCCTTAGCGTCTCGTGTCAGTACCTGGTTCTCCACCTCATTGATAGTGCGAGCAATGGAGGTGAGCAGCTGCTCCCAGCCCACACGGATGTGCTGGAGAGCAGGAGACAGGCCCCAGTCAGTGGGTGGCCAGTGTCTGGCCACTAGCTCTAGCCCCACTCCCAATCTTCTGTGTGACCCCCAGCAAGTCCTCCCCCTCACTGGGCCTCTGTCCCCACCTGGAGGTTCCAGTGAGTGACCCCCAGCAGCCCTTCCTGCCTCAAAAGTTTGATGATTCATTATGTATTAAGTATTTATCAATGAGCCATGGCCAATCCTGGCCTGGCCTTAGATTGCTTTGTGGCTCTGGACAGGTCACTTGCCATCATTAGTATCCCCATGGTTACACTGGGGGAACTGGCCAAGCTCAACTGGGGCGCCTCCTGGGACAGACATGCTCTGTCCAGCTGTGGTCGCCCCAGGCATCCCCAGCCAATTCTGCCTCCCCTCTTCTCCAAGAGGGCGTGATCGCACCTCCATGCTGTAGACAGTGTGCTTATTGTCGAACACCAGGCTCTCCTGCAGCAGCTGGTGGTCGCCTTCCAGTCGGTCAATGTTGCTCTTATAGTTGATGATGTTTTGTTCCTGCTGCCGCAGCCCGGCCATCTGCTCCTCCAGAGAGCCAGCCAGCCCTGCTGCCAGTCGTCCCACCTCCTGCAGGGGTATCCAGGCACAATGAGGGCTCCCAACTCCCTGCAGCCCAGTCCTGGCCCCACTCCCTGGGGTTAGCCTCGGCATCCAAGCCCTTACCTCCACCTTTGCCTGAATCCAGGGCCCAACAGCATTGGCCTGGGCTGCAAACTGTCTCCGGAGCCTCTCATTCACCTGTTGCCGTGCCAGCTCTTCCTGCAGTGTCTGGTCACGGCTGGGCACCAGCTTTCGGACCTGGGAGGGAGGATGGTCATGCCAGGGTGGGGGCCAGGAGATGGCCTTGAAGGGAGATGGGCTCCAGCACCTCACACCTCAGCCCCTGTTGCTGCGAGCCAAATTGTTGGCTACATAGGCAAGCTCTTGGGCAAGTCACTCAACTCCTAGGCTTCAGTTTCCTCATCTGTATAATGGGGCTGATGACATCATTTATAACTAACATAGGTGGTTTTATAAAAGTTTTCGGCACAAAGATTTAATTCTACTTCACATCAGTCCTGACTGGAAAATGCTGTTACGGCCATTATACAGATGAAGCCACAACAGGCAAGGTGACTTACCCAATGCCACATGGAGTCTGGAGATCCCAGATCTGAAAGTGGGCTTTATTCTCCATATCGGGGGACCCCAGAGGTTTCAGGATGGTTATAGAGTTGGGGGGAAGGCGGGGGTTGGTGCAGGGGAAGGTTACAGGTGGCACTGACCATGTCCCACTTGGTGTTGATGTCCTGTGGGCTTAGGGTGATATAGGGGTTGGTGGAGCTGGGCCGCAGCCCATATGTTTGGCAGATCTTCTGGATTTCACCCTGGATGCCCAGGATGGCACCTCGCTCTCGGTCAGCCTCGGGCAATGTTGCCTTGAACTGTTCATGTGCTGTCAGCAGGCTCTGGGGTGAAGGGCAGGAAGCATGAGCCAGTGCCCCCCACTTGCCACAGGCAACACAAAGAGCAGCAACATGCTCGACCATCCAGTGGTCCCAGGCAGGGCTGGTACAGGAACCTAGGCCTCCTGTCTCCTGGCCCAGCACTGAGGAACTGGGGTTTTCCTCCCATCCCCACTCCCCAGGAGCCAAAAGGAATGGTTGACAGGATTTGGGGTCAGCTTCCCTGTCATCCCATCCAGCACCCACTACCAAGCCCTGTGCCCACCTGGGTCTCCTCCACTGAGTGCACCAGCCATACGTCTTGCAGGTCCTCCACGGCACCGTCCAGCCAGTTGTTGAAGGGCGCTGCCCGCCGGGCAAACTCCAGCTGCAGCTGGTCGATGGTCTCCAGGAGCTTCTCCATCCGCTAGGAACCCAGGAGATGGGGGGTTAGCGGGCTGTCCGATAGGTCCGGCCTCACTAGCGTTCAGCCTCCGGCTCCCTGGCCCCCAGCCCACCTCTAGTGCGTCCCGCCTCTTCTGGGTCAGTGTGCCCAAGTTGTCCCACTGGTCGCAGATGGCCTGGCAGCGGCTGTTCACTGATGCTGCGTCGTGGTAGTCCAGCTCACTGGGGGCGAGAAGGCAGCCAGTGCGGGCCCAGACCTGGGCCCAGATTTCCTCCTGCCTGTCTGCCCTGGCCGGTGGTGAAGGCTTAAGGATGCTCGGGCAGGTGAAGAGGGGTTTTCTTAAAGGGGCTCCGAGCGCGTTCCTTCGGGAAGCAGGGCGCCCACGAGCCTTCAGCTCCAGTGCCCAGAGATGCTTGGATGCGGGGCCTGGAGTTTCAGGGGCGGGATCCTGCGAGAATGGGCGGGTTTGCAGGAGAAGGTGGCGAGGTCAAGGGAGGATTTGGGGTAGCGGGCGGGCCTGCAGCGGCCGGTTAGGGGGCAGGCCCACGGAGCGGGGCGGGTATAGCGCTGCTGGGGAAGGGTGTGGGCAGCAGAGCGGGGTCTGGAGGTGGGTATGGGGTTTCTGCAGGGGGCGGAGCGAGTGGGGATGGGGAAGGACGCGGGTACCACGGCGAGGTCACCGAACCCGGGAGAACCAAGTGTCCAGAGGAAGGCCACGGGGGCCGGGCGGGGCTCGCGCCGGGGGCGGGGCCAGGCAGGGGCCACGCCTACTTGAGCTCCTGGGCCAGCGCGGCGATGTGCTCCACGCGGTCCTGGTGCGCCGCCAGGTCGCTCTCGAAGGCCTCGTGGCGCCGCAGAAGCGCCCGCACCTCCTGTAGCGATGCCGACTCGTAGTCGCGCTGGCTCAGCATCTCCTCCTTCCCTGCTCGGAGAGAGGACCGGCTCCGTCACCAGGCAGGAGCCGGGGTTCGGGCCGGGCTGCGCGACCGCGGAGAAGCTTCACCTGTGAATGCAGGTGATCACACCTGCCCGGCCTACCCTAGGGCTTTGCTCTGAGGCGGCAGCGTTAAAGTTAAGTAAAGCTCCCGTTCTGAGGCAAGGCCCGTAAATGACGTCACCGCCCAGGCTGGTCCTTGGTCCAGTTTTGGAATTATTGATGGCGAACTACCTCTCAACGACTCTGTGAACACCATGAGCCCCTGACCCGGTTTCCTTCGTTCACCTCTATTTCCCCAGTGCCTGGCACAGTGCCTGGCACTTGGTAGATCCTTGGTAAATATTTGTTGGATGAATGAATAATAAATGTAAAGATGTTTTGTGAATGATAGTTATCATAATTTTGCAAATAAAAACCAACATAATCATAATAATAGCGGTAGTGACCATTTATTGAGTGCCTCTGCATTTTGCAGAGCAGGTAACAGGATTAGCAGTTCGGAGACCTCTCCAGGGTCACATAATTAGTTGTAAATTTAAGGAACTCTTATTATACCAAACCAGTTTTATTCATTATGTCCATAATCCATTATTAGTGTTTGTTCATTATTTTTAGGCAGGAATCATTCATTTAGAGGATTAAAATCCCTGACAGAATACTGAATGAATATTTTATACAGAGTGATATATTTGACTCATGCAATATTTTAGTGTCACTTATGAGTACACTTATGAGTAATAAATATATCACATGAGTATAACATAAATGATGTTAGGGTTAGGGACG